ACTTAATTACATATATTTGAACGCTTCACACATTATATACAATTATTTTTTATATTATATTGAATTCTTATTTATTTAATAAAATCCTTAAAATTAAATAAAAATATTATTATATATATAAAAATATATATTTTAATATAATGTGATAATAATAAAAAAAAAATTAGTGCCCGCCTCAACAAATTCAGTAAAATATCCTTTTTACTTTTAAAAATTATTTCATTTAATGTAGATACTTATATAAGCATGTATTTGTGTATGAGGCCAAAAAAAAAAAGAAAATGTAAATGAAATTCAAGATAACAATCAAAAAGCAAAAAAAGACCAGAAACAGATAGCGAAATCTCTTTTCTCTATTCGCTAAAATAATTTTTACATAATGTAATTATTATAAGAAAAAAATCAAAATAAAAGGGAATAACCTATTAAAAAGAATTCTGGGGGCATATATAGACGCAATAACAGTGAAAACACCAAATAATCCTAAATATACATATACACACTTTCTATATATGTACTGTATATATACATGATTCATATAGACACGAAATATTATGTAAAACCCGCATAAAAAAATTCTTATGAAAAAAATGATAAAATGTAAAAGAGTAAGGGGCATATAGAATGCAAATGGAGTGTTAAGTTGAAAATTTTTTTTTCTATACACAATAAGATCGCATTGAAAATTAAAAATTATTTAAAACTTTAGGAAAAAAAAGCAGTTAGCTGAGGGTATAATACAAAAGATCAATGTAAAAGAAAAAATTTTTCAAATGAAATGAGGATTGCATTGCGCATTGCATTCTTTTATATAAAATCCGAGGGAAAAAAACAAAAATTCCTTATATATTTTAAATTTTATTACATCCTTAATGCTTATATCCTTAATTTTTTATATTGTAATTTGACAGAACGATTCTTTTACTAGACTAAACTAAACTTATATACAAAAAAAGAAACGCATGATACTTTTTATTCCTTTTTTTCAAGTTTTTAATTTCCTTTATGAATTTTTTTCTTATTTTGCTTGTTTCTTTTTTTTAAAGTAATTCTATTCCTGTTTCTACATAAAATACAAAAGCATTCATTGTACACTTATTTATAATTTTTGATATTTTCCTTCATAATATTTAAAAAAAAAAAAACAACAAAAAAGACTCTAGTACATAAAAATATTTTAAATGTACATAAAAGAATCCTTTTAAATGCATTCCTTTACACATTTGTATTATTTTGCATGTACATACAAACATAACAATATTATCCTTTTATAAATTTTTTGTTTCTTCCCCTATTTCGTAAATATATAACACGTTCTATGTATATATTGAAAAAACACAAACAAAATAGATAAAAGTAAAATAAAATATTTTTCACATTAAACCAAAATTTTATTGAAAATAGAAAGGACTTTTTTCTATTTTGAAAAATATAAGGAAATTTTATTATCCTTTCAAAATTATTTTCTCTGTGTTAAAGAGAAAAAAAAATTACTTATTTTCTCATTTTTATAATATAAATATTGTCCTTTATCTGTTATCTGTTATTATAAAATAATTTTTATAATAAAATAACATATTTTTCGAAAATATCTGTTATCTGTTATAATAACAGATTAGAACAGTATGTACTGTATATTTGTTGATATATTTCAATTGGATTGCATTGTATTAAATATTTTTTTTTTGTAAATTATTGTACTCCTTTTGCCGTGATATAAATTTCGATCTAAGGCAAAATAAGCCTACTGCTATAATTCTGTCTAATTTTGCAAGAAATAAACAAAATATAGTATATTTCATAAGATTACTTAGAGTAAGCGGAATAGAAATTGCAATATGATACTAAATATTGACTGATTACTATCAGTAAAAAGAGCTGTAGAGGGATCCATATAACTCCTGATCGTTCTTAATAATTAGTCACATGTCACATGGTATGCAATTATTCGTTAAGGCACATAACATTTATATTTTTGAATGCGTAAGTCATAAATCTTCATAAAATGATTTGCGTCAGAATTTTAAGTCAAAAATATAATATTTTTTTTAAATAAAGAGCTGTTATGTAAACATGTTAAGTGTTTTGCTCTATAAATCGCTTGCTACTTAAACAATTTTGATTATTTTCAGTCGCTTTACTAGAATGAACGCACCCTAATATTATATTTGTATATTTATAAATATAAATATGAATATATTAATATTGCATTTCCTTTTAATATTGAAAATATTTTATTTATATCGTTCAAAATGTTAAAAAAATGTTATTGTTTTTCCACGTGTCTTTTGAATATTCGCAAATTGAGAATAGTGTTAACTGATTTTCTGTAATTTATTTTTATAATTTCTATTATTTTATACTTATATCCAATGCATACACACACATACTGTGTATTTCCATTAAATAGGTACATAATGTACATACATATATACATATATGTATGTATTATATAACAGATTATTAAATTTTATGTTTTGTTTTCATATATGTGTGGCGCGAACTCAGTTTAATTTTTTTTTTTTTTGGTTTTCTTTTGTTTTTTTCTTTCATACCATAAAACTTCCAATATATTTTGTTTATATTTTTTTTTCTTTCATTTTACACTTTTTTTTTTTGTTTTTATTATTTTTTACTGTTGTGCTGGTTGTGTGTATTCAATAGTTTTCCAGTCGGTTAAGATTATGAAAAACAAACTGTAAAAATTCCAATAGATTTTTGTTATTTTTTTTTTCTTATTATTTTTGATAACTTAGTTAAATTTTGCATGTATGTACACTGAAAAAAAATATGACTGCCGTTGCTATAATTTATGTACAATTTTTACCATATACATAGGATATTTTGGGATAGTGGAATTGTATAGCTGTATTTGCTATATTTTTATAGCAAATAATTTCCATACAAAATAGCCACATTTACTAAAAATATAGTATATTTTCCTATATTAAATGTTCATATATCTAATACACCTTAGCATTATTTACTATGTATAACAGTATTATGTGCTATAAGAAATAGTAAATAATGCTATAAATATTGCAATATTAAATATAAATATATTGTAAAATATCATATAAATTTAGCAAACAATGTCATGTACGATATGCAAAACTCACATCAAATATAGCAGTTTTCGTTATTAACAATTGTAGTAATTGCTATGAATATTGTAAATTGTACAAAGGGAAATGTGCATTGGTTATATGTGTACAAGGGTAAAATATGAAAAATATTACCATCTTTACTATAATAAATAGTACAAGTTCTTAAAAAAATATGAATACTTACCATAAATATAGCAGATATTGTCATACAAAATAACGAAAGTTTTAATAAACATAGCGCTTGTTGTTACACGTAACTGCAATGATTACTATAAATATAGCAAATTTTGTTATACCTCATGTATTTTATTAATTTGCATTATAGTATAAAATGCTAAAAGTATTGAAAATTGTGCTATGAGAAATAGTAAACAGTACTATGAATGTTGTCATATTTAGTATAAATAAATTGCAGAATATCATATGCATTTCGGAAACACTACTATATAAAATATGAAAAAATTGCATCAAACGTACCATTTTTCATTATTAACAATTGTAGCGGTTGCTATATATATTGTAAATTATGCAATGAAAAACGTGTATTGGTAACATGTGTAGAACAGTAGCACGTGAAAAATATTGTAATCTTTGCAATAACTATGCGAGTTCTTAATAAACTATGAATCCTTACCATAAATATAGCAGATATTATCATGTTAAATTAATGGAAATTTTAAACATAGTACGGGTAATTGAAAGAATTATTATATACATGATAAATTTCGATATACCCAATATTATATTACAATTATCTTCATTATAGTTTAAAAGTGCTAAAATTATTAAAAAATTTGTTATAAAATAAACTCTGGTAATTTTATTAATACATAAGAATTTATTTTACATTTAATTTTAGATTTATTTTACATTATAAAATCATTTACATTTTTTCACAATGTAGGTAACGTATTTCTTAAATTGAATATATTTATATTTATTATTTTTTTTTCAGATTTTATACATTGTGCATATTGTTTTTTAAGATAGATGCACAGTTTATTTAAGATAGTTTAAATGTTTTTTAACATAGTTCACATACATATTAAATATTTTGTAATAAACAGTATAGTTTACATTATCATTTTACATATAACAAAAAAATTTTGAAGGATTTGTTTCATTTACATAATTAAATTTTTATTATTTTTGATATACATATATTACGAAAGATATATGCAAAAGCAAAACTATATTCACAAAATTTTCAAAAATTGATACTAAGTTTGTTAACGACTAATTGAAACATAAAAAAACTATTGTAACACATACTTTTCCGACTTCATTTTATATAAATATGTATATTAAATATTCATCGATTCTCAATAAAGCAAATTTATCGGTATATTCAACCAATAAAAATCAATCAATAAAAATAGCTTCATTTTTATGAAAATATGAAACGTGTTTTAAAAATGTTTTGACATTTTTAAATTCTTTTGCCGAACATTTAAAGCACTCCATTATTTAAAAATTGTTTCAAATAAATAATATTTTAGTCGGATGTAAGTTCAAATTAATATTCTTGTTAATATTATTAAAAAGTTTGATGAAAAATTTTTTTTGGTAAAGCTTAAATAATACTGATATATTTTGAATTAGTTTAACTAGTAATAAGTTTAAATACAAATAATTGAACAATATGCTAAACAACCAATCAAATTTTGTATCAAAAAATTATTTGTAAATCATACTGCCAAGAGGAAAAAAAATAGTTGTTGACTTACGCAGCCAAGTTAAACATCAATGAATTAAGTCTGATGCATGTTTTATCATATTTCGTGGATATTTCGTACACAAACTTCTGCAAAAACATCCAAATAATTTCACAGTCCTGCTGATATTCTACATTTACTGCATGTATTATTTTGAAACAAACGTCAATGGCGGCTAATGGCCTATCCAATATATAAAACACGTCATTCACAAATACGTAAGAACACTGAATATCATCTAGGTAAATAAAAAGATATTTGTATTAAAATATTTTTCTTAAAATATTGCTACAATATTTTTTTGGGAAAAATAAAAATAATGTTTTCACAAAACTTAATAATTTCGAAAAAAATAATATTGTGAATTTATTCAGTAATAATATGTTCTAATAATAATATTAATTGTTTAAATAAAAGATATTTAAAATCATAAATTTATTAATTAATACAAGAGATAAAGACTAAAACTTTCATATTAACAAAACAATTGTTTTTGCTTCTAATATCTTTTGAATTAATTAAACAAACCTCTTCTTATTACTTTTAGCTTTTTATAAAAATATTTTTCTTCAAAAATTTTCCAATGTTAAAATAGAAAAAAACAAGTACCTCATAAATGAAAAAAATAAAAAAACAAACTCACCTTTATTTATTTTTTAAATATTTAAAATAAGCTGTTGGAGTTTTACGGCAGGTACCCGAACCTGTCAAGCCATTTCATAAAAACTTCTAAAATATATGTGACTTATAATTGGACACATAAATGCTAAATTTTACGAACCTAACTTTATTATTTTTTTAAATATTTAAAATAAGCTGTTGGAGTTGTACGGCAGGTACCCGAACCTGTCAAGCCATTTCATAAAAACTTCTAGAATATATGTGACCTATAATTGGACACATAAATGCTAAATCTTACGAACCTAACTTTACTATTTTTTTAAATATTTAAAATAAGCTGTTGGAGTTGTACGGCAGGTACCCGAACCTGTCAAGCCATTTCATAAAAACTTCTAAAATATATGTGACTTATAATTGGACACATAAATGCTAAATTTTACGAACCTAACTTTATTATTTTTTTAAATATTTAAAATAAGCTGTTGGAATTGTACGGCAGGTACCCGAACCTGTCAAGCCATTTCATAAAAACTTCTAGAATATATGCGACCTATAACTAAACAACGAAAAATTTGGCGCTTAGCAAAATTATGTATGTAGAAATGTTTAAACATATGTATGTCTATACCAAAAGTAATATACCCTTCACAAGGTTCAATAAATATTTTTTTAAAGTTTTTTAAAAAATCAAAAACAAAATAGTAATCTAAAAATGTTTGCTACTATACAAATAATAAATTAATGAAGACAATTTTTTTCACTTACCTCTAAATTACCAAATTTTTGAAACGCGCTCCAGAAAAGTTGTCATAGTCCACTCTTTTGAAGAAAATTTTTCAATTCTTCGTAGTGTAGACACTTAAAAGATTGAACTGTGTACTCCTCCGCTAAAATATAATATTTAAATTTTAAAATTTTGTATTAAATCAAAAAAATTTTAGCTATTAAATACGTATTTATGGCTGCATCACGGTTACCAAACCTCAGGTAATTTTAATTTATATGAGTTTATGTTCAAAAATTGTAAATTGTGACGTAATCAAAAAAAAAAATTTAAAGTTTTCAGAAATAAAAATTTCTTTTCAAAAACATCTTTGTTGAAGGTTTTTAGCATTATGTCAATGCAACAAAATTCATAATAATAATACAAATTTTAACAAATTTTTTAATTAAACAAAAAGCGGGTAATTTTAATCTCATTTCAAATAAATCTTTATATTATATTTGGTAAACCTGGCGTCCATATACAATAAGCATAAGCATAGTACACGTTATAACATGCAGTACACTTACATATACACATATCGTCGGCTTAATTCTAATAGCAAACAACTCATATTTGTCATAAATTTTTTCATAACTTCCTGTAACTTATTCTTCTAGGTAAATATATCAATGAAAGGTAAATAAACGTTATATTCTAATTAAAATTCTTTTTAAACATTAAATTAACTAAAAACATTCACAAGCAACCATATAAAATATTGTCACAAAATAGTTTTTTTTTTGTCTCCTGTAAAGTAGAGAAAATTGAGTTATTTGCTATTAGAATTAAGCCGACGATATGTGGGTATATACTATTAACATAATAATATGCAAAATATTAAGTATTATTTCAAAAAAAAAAATTAGATTGCCACTCTTAACTAAATTCTTAAAAGTAAAAGGAATTTTTTACTTACTCAAAAAAAAAAATCCAGTAAATAAGGAAAGCCCCAACGGTTCAAAACTTCCTTCAAAAAATTCTTTTGTGTCCATTGCACGGATGTATGTATGTATGTATACATATAATAATATAGTTTGTATGAAATAATATAATATTATGTATAATATATAATATATATATATATATATATATATATGTATATAATATAATGTAAGATAATATATAGAATAATATAATATATAATACGTACAAGTATTATAATGGCAAATAACATGTACTTATGTATGTAATCTTTAGTTTTTTTTATTTTGAACTAATATTATTAATTTAATGATTAATAATGTAAAGTATTATTATTTAGTAATATTATTTTTTTAATTTTAAAGCACTATTTCTTTCCTAATTCTGAAAATAATTCAAACAAAAAAACTTCACACTTTACGAAAAAAACTTGTTAACACGAGATGCGCGCACTTTTCACAACCAATAAAATATAACTGACAAAAATGCGAGCAAAGCGTACATATACTGACAAAAAACAAAAACTCAGAGGTAACTGTTTTTTTTGGACGTTTTGTTGTTGGACTGATCAGAACATATTTGGTTGATATTTGATGTTGCAAATAGTATTGCCATATGGATGATAATGGAATGAGTTTCAGTTTTATATGGAATAGAGAATTTAGTTGATTATAATTTTTTAAAATTTATTTTTTATTTAAATAAATAATTTTTTTTTTTAATTTTTTAAAACCATTACACTTTTTCCAAAATTTTTGCATATTTTTATTTTTATTAAAATGTTAAGCAAAAATAGTCAAAAATATGACATTTGTCGATAGTTTTATGTTTACATTCTTTTTTAATAAAAAAATATTACTAAAAATAGTATTTTCCATTTCTAAACTCCTTTAAATATTAGTTATAAAATTGAGACCATAAAAAATAATAATGCTTTATACAAATAATTTTTAATCCTAAGGTAAGAACGACATATATTAAAAAATGTTGGCAATATCTTCATAGAGCAAAAAGTGACAAAAGAAATAAAAACAAAAAATTATAAAAATATTTGTCTTCCGTTAGAACTCCACCAATAATTAACAAAGTTTTCTTCCTCTTTCTCACAACTTAGTTTTTGGAAAGGGAAAGAAAACAATAAAGAAAATAATAAACTCACAACATTATTTAACTTTTTTTAACCCTTTGTTCTTAAAAAAAAAATTAACCCTTTACTCCATAAAAAGAAAAAATAATAATGTACAATACATTATAAAAAAATTGTTGAGCATAACATTTTATAACATATTAAATAGATATTATGAATGATGCTAAATTATTTAAATACTTTTCAATTAAAGGAACAGAGTGTGCATATTATTATGTACATATGTATATTATATCCTAAACAAATTAATTAATGTCTTTTTTTTTACGGATTGATTGCGGAAGTAGTTTCGATAAATTTTAAATTTTAATTATAATTTACTCTTCACTTTTATAATTAATATCGTTTTCCATTTAATGTTTTGCATTAACATGTACATACATAGGTACATAAATCGATATTTGTAAATTTTGAAAGGTTGTTTGGAGGTATTCAATTGATTCACTTACGAATCAGCGGGGTCCAAACATAGAAACAGCCTCAGTTTCTTTAAATAAGATCGTTTCTTTTATAAAATTGTTTAATCAATTAAATAAATTGTTAGATAATGATTAATACATTATAGAAATGTAATAAAGAAAAAAGAAATGTCAAACTATACATACATATCACCTACATATATTTTAAAAATTTGCACATTTATTATTTAGTATGTAAGAACGATTATTTTCAACTGTGTTAAAAGTGCTGTAAGTACAAAAGAATTTCTGAACCTGTTGAGATATTCATGCCACAGTTTTGTATACTTACTTTACGTTACTTATACTAAAACATATTTTCTAAATAACCCAGAGTTTGTTTATGCGAATAAGTATTTGATACATTGTCAAAAAGGAGGGAATTGTGAAATCGGCTGGAAATTATACTTTAGAAAATTGATTGAGATTTTTAATTTTAGTAAAGGTTTCATACGCATTTGAATTTTCTTTTTAGAATTTGACATTTCTTAAAACTATAATATAAGAATAAGAAATTTTCATTCTTTCTTGTTGAAATAACATTATTATGTTAATGTACAGCAAAACGCAAAATATATGTATACATACATACTCAATATTTGTATGCATATTGAGTTATACATACACATCTATTCTACAATCGAGTATGAACCTGTTGTAAACAGGGTTGACAATATGATATATGCAGGTTTACTAATTTTACCTAAAACATTTATTGTTTTGAAAATTCGAAAAATTTTATAAATTCAAAAATAATTTCAGTAAATTAATATTTTTACCTCTATGCAAAAAGGTAAATGCTTATTTCAGTTTTTTAATTAATTTCTTCAGTTTTTCTGTTGCCTGCCATACAACACACCTAAAAGCCAAAATATGCCCTTAAAAATAAAATATATCTTCGGTAGTGCCATTTTTAATGGCATATTTTTACTTTTATGTATGTACATATGTACATATGTTGTGAAAAGAAAGGGTATAATTAGTTTATTTAATTTATATTTACATACATACAAGAGCAAAAATTAAAATTTTAATTTTTTTTTCAAATTTTCTCCATGTCACTCTCTTTAAAAATTTAGGATACTTTTTTTTTTCTGTGCCATCCCTATTATAAACACAAGTATTGTAAATTGAATATGATATGGTTTGACCTGTCGTCAATTTAACATTCGTACCTACGTACTGGCAAATATGCAAATACAAAAATGCTCATACATATAAGGCTTTGCAGTGTTATATAAACACATACATACTTATGTACATATTTCAACATAAAATTGGCAAATACATAAATAAACTTGGTCGTTTATTCATTTTAACATGCTTTTA